AAAAGCCTGTGACACTTCATCTCCTCAGCAAAACATCTGAGATGCTGCACATTTATTTACTATGATGTTCCAAGTTATAAAGTGCCTTTCTAAACCACCCTTAATAATGCTGGATGGGAGTCAGCATCATTCCTTCTACTCTTGGAAAAGCCCACAAAGAGGCTGGAGGATCTCTGGGAGGACAGGGGAAGCCTGGTGGGTGTTAAGTCAGTGATAAACTTGCTTTGAAAGCAGAACCTCTGTCAGCATAGAAAAGGGCCAAGATTTAGAAGATTTCACAATCATTACTGAGCACTGTACTCCAGGAAAACCCAATTATCCAGGACAGTGGCCCAGAGATGCAGAACAATCTCTGTCCTTGAAGACAAATAAAAGCTGACTGGAGGATGTCCAGACCAACTGGACCTCACTTCGAAGCTGGCTCTGGAGACTCCCTGAGTGTCCTTCCACCCCATTATCCTCTGACTGTGGAACTACACCTCCCTGACACCACAGGCAGGTCTCAGCTGCACAGGGAACCACAAGGCTCTTACAGTCAGCCCCAGAGCACTCCCTGGAGCTCTGCTCTCCTCCCTGGCTCCTTGGCATGAGATACCCACAGCACAGGATCTTCTGGCCCAGTCCCTGAGCTGGGTGCCTTTTATGCACAGGAAAATGGCTCCTGTCTTGACAGCATTCCCACAGTCTTGCAGATAAGCCAGAGGATGCCCCTGGAAAAACAGTCTGCAGGAAAACTGAAATGTTGGAGTGAAAGTCTGGCTGGTTTGCATTTGAATTCCAATAAAAATGCACTCAGACCAATGTTTGGCTCCAAAAACCCTTCCAGGTTTGAAAACAGTTCCTAAGAGCCTTGCTAAAGCAGTTTTTGGCAGTGGGGTGGTGTCTGCAGGAGAAACACCAGCTCCCACTGACAGACACAGGATGGAACTGCCCCTCCCTTACACCCAGACACACCTCAGGACTGGCATCCTGTTGATCCAAAAGAATGGATTTTACACCTTCACCTGGGGATCATAATGGAAAACAAGGGGTTATAAAGCCACTTTATAACCTGGAACATCACAGTAAATAAATGTGCAGCATCTCAGATGTTCTGCTGAAGAGATGAGGCATTGTGGGCTTTTGATAAGATTCCAACTAATTCCACATACAAATCTGGCTCCAAGACCTTTACTTGCAAGTAGACTGTTACTAAGCCCTCACACCAAAAGGCAGAATGCAGTGACTGATTGCATTCCTCCTGGCCAGGATTTTCTCTGGCCTCTTCTCCCTTGATGCAAAGTTTGGCCCCCCTTAAGAGTGCAGCACAAGGAGAGACCATACTGCAAGACAAGGGTTGAAGGATGTTGGGTTTTGCTGCTTGCAGGTGTTTTCAGGGACCTGCTTTGAACTGAGATCACTTGGATTTGCTTGGACATTTGTAGCCCCACACCCCCAAGACTGTGCAGTAGCACAGGGAGGGTAGTTCTGCCACCAGGGAGCTCAGCCCTGAAGTCTGTGTTCAGGGCTATGTATTCCAGGACTGGCACGAAAACAGGGACGAGCAGAGGCAGCATCACAAGGGGAAACATGAGAGACTTCCCTTGGAATAATCCCATCCATGGAGAGAGGTTCAAGCAGCCATAGGCTCTTCCAGATTATACCTTCCAAATCCCTGGGATAAGTCAGAAAGAGGCTAAGTTGTTGTTTCCGCTGCCTGACTCTGGAAACTACACCCAGTAACACTTTACAGAGATGGTTCAGCACTGGCCTTGCTCCTGTTCCCCACAAAGGCAATAAAAGGGTGTGCTGGCAGCTCAGAGAATCCCCCATGGCATGTTCAGTTGTGGCTGGTGTCTTTAAAATAATCAGTGCATCCTCCAAAACACTGCCTGCATTCCCTGCTCCTGAAAACTGCCTGCTGGAAGTGCTAATGTGCTGTTAGACTCTGCATGATGATTATAGATGATAAACATAATTATTTTGGGTCCTGATTGCCTCTACTGTCTCCTTTCTGTTGCTGATGTGTAAAGCAATCTGTGTTATCAGTTTTATGGGCAAAGTGTGGAGGTACAGATTTATTCCTGAAGCCAAACCTTCAGGGAACACCCCCACTCCCCACCCCCAACCCCATCCTGAGGCACAGAGCTGTGCTGTGACAGATTCCTGCCTCTTGGAACCTGAAGGCTGCCCAGCCAAGGTCAGAGAGTGATGGAGGTGGGTTTCCTCATCCAGCTGTAAATCCCAAGTGGAGGAAAGCACTGGTGATGGAGTGGGAGTGATTTCACTGACCTCTGTCCAAAGCAGAGCTGTCAGGCAGGTACCACACAACTCAGGATTCCATGGAGATGAAGAAAATTAAGTCTCCTAAAGCAGCACATGGTCCATCCAACCTGTGGGTACCGTGTGTGAAGCTGGGGGTGGGGGAGCCCTTCAGATTAGGACCAGCAGATGCCTCGAGTTGGGATCCAGAGCACAAACCTCTGACTTTTGTTTCAAACCCCCGACTAATCCATCCTCCAAAAGAGTGCAATTGCTTCCCAGCCATGGGAATAAAGACAGCACTGCTAAGCCCTATGGGGAGGATGTCACTGTCCCTTATAGAAGAGAGTGAGAGACAGGAGACACATGCTGTGACAGCTGTAGGGATCTGCACAGGAGAAATAACCAAAGGAAAGCCCACTCTTTGTGTTCCATCATCTTCTCTTTACTGTCATTTTATCCTGTTTGTAGCCTTGGGTGAACTCCCTCTTCTGCTATCCTTGCCACAGTCCTGAGAGAGATGGAAATGGCAAGGTCTGGACAGCCCGCACAGCACCATAAACTTTCCTGCCAGTGCAGGAGGCAAGGGGTTACTGGAGAAGGCTGAGGGGCAGAAGGAACAGTGGGATTGGCAGATTTCAAGCTCCCCCACCAGCCCTGCTTCCCTCCACACCAACCCCATCATGACCTGGCTCCATAGAGACAGCCACTGCCTGGAAAACAACCCACTCTTTAAACTTTATTATTAAATAAATAAATCCAGCCAGCTATTACAAGGCCCTGCAGCCAGAGCAGCCAAGAAAAGGATTGGAGAGGCCAGAAAAGCTCCAGTGAGAGCAGGTAACCAGAGACTTGTTTAGCACAGAGCAGAGACAAGGCTCCTCACACGAGCAGCCTGCAGCCCCACGAGCATTCCCCCTGGCCTGGTCTGGCTGTGCAGGGTATTTACACGTACAGGCAGGGCGACGCCGAGCCCTGGCTGCTCAACAATCGACTTTTATTCTCTGCAGACCAGCAAAGCCAAGATTTCAGTAAACACAACCCCAAAAATGCGCCTGCAGATTGGGTAGAGCAGAGCCTGTGCTCTGCCTGCCAAACTACAAAGGCCTGCTCCAGTGAGTGGTTTCACGGTGAGGCTGCTGTGGGGAGGAAGGGTTTGCAGTGGGCAGGGGAGGGAACAGGGCTCCAGGAGATCCGGGTCCCACCCCTGGCTCTAGGAATCGGGAAAGCTCTGACTGCAGGAAATCTCAGGCACACTCAGGAGCCACTGTCCCTCCACCCATCACTCCTTGCTGAGGCACAAAACGCTGCTCTGAGGGGAGGCTGATAACACTGCCTGACCTTGCAGGGGTGTTGCTGTGCTGCGTGATTGATGCCTGAAAGGCTGTCACAGCTCTCTGCATTAAAATCTCTCTGGAAGGCACTGGGAGACTGCACATATGGGTGCAGACACGTGAGAGGGAGACATGCAGCTCACACACACTCTGCTCCCCTCCCTGCCTGCAAATCCCCACACAGACTTGCTGAGCCTACTACTCCTGCATTTCAATATTTCAAGATGGACCTGCAGAAAACCTGGGGTTTAGAGCAGAGCAGCCAATACTCAGCTCAAAGCTGCCCTCACAAACCCAGCCTGCTGCTCGGGCTGCCCAGGCTCAGCCCCAGCTCTTTGCTTTTACTCACAAAACCAGGCCAGTGGGGAGCCTGAGCCCATGGCAGACACAGCCCAGCTGTGCTCAGTTTGGCCAGGCTGGAACCTGGGACCTCCTCTGGCCCTCCATGCCTTTCATAGGTTGCTTAGCCCATCTTTCACCTCATTAATGAAGACACTAAAAAGGCTGGACAGAGCCCTGATCCCTGTGGCATGCCTTTGGCAAAGTACCTCCTTGACCAGCTCCCATCACCTCCTCCATAGGAAGGGCCTTGCCTGGAGGTGTGCAGAGCTCCTAGAGCAGCTCCTTTGCCCCTGGGGAGAACCCACCAGCTGCACCAACAGTTTCTATAACAAATACAAAAGGAAGCAGGAAGGAACATCACACTCTCACAGGATGGCTCTGTATTGAGCAGCTGTGCTGGGCTTGGCTCTACAGTATTATCATCCAACTTTTAGGCTCCCTTCTTGTCCTAAAAAGGTCTGGACACTGTTAACTTTTCTAAATCTTCTCTTACCTTATTGGCTGTGTTTCAGATATAGGTGGCATGAGTCAATCACAGAGGACCAGTTTAAAATATTGTAAGCTACTTCCCTCAAGTGGAGGGAATAAAAATCACTCAACTATGTGTCACAGGCTCTGTGGGTACCTCAGGTAGGAGGAAGATAATGAGAGATGGACACCTGCACGAGGTAGAACCTACCAATCTGTCTGAAAGGTGTTAGGAGAATAGAAACATTGCCAGTGATAGTGCAGAATAAACTTTCCCACTGCACAGACCTCAGGGCACATGAGGGGCACTCTTTGTGTCAGATTCCAAAGGGGCAGGTGCTCTGAGAGCCCAGCAAGTTCCCACGTGGACAGCTCATCTACATCATGCCTGGGTTCTGGGAACATGCTGAATGCAAGCTGAGATGAGTGACAAGTGCTCCTACACAGCATTTCAGCACAAATGGAAGAGACTGCTTAGAAGCAGCTTGGGGGATGAAAGACCTGAGTCCTGTGGAACAAAGCTTTCCTGCCTCCCAGAGCTGGGGCAGGATGGGATGGAGGGAACCAGGCCCAGCTGAGGGAACTGGCAGAACTGGTGGTGGGGCTTGCACTCACCCCGAGGCTCTGTCTCATCTCATGCTCGCTGTTTTCCTCAGAGAAGCCAATGAAACACGAACAAAGAATCCCCATTTCACTGGAGTTCTACAGCAGTGGAGAAAGCAGCCCAGCTCCAGCCTCTTCCCTGTGCTGTGAGCAGGAGGATGTTTCATCTCCTGCAATGGAAAGAGATAAGAGAGGTTTAGCACGAGGCAGGATTTGTTTCTGATCAGTCCGACAAAGGGACACACAACCCGTTTATTACTGGAAATTAATTGTGCCATCAATGCAGACGCCTGCAATTACTTCTGTTAAATATTATCTTTAATTAACTGTAAAATATATAATTAATAAACTTGCCCCCTCATTTTTGTTAAGTTTCACTGCTAAGACCTTATTACTGAAATAAATCTTCCTAGCAGCACACGTTGACAGAATAGAGGAGGGTGCACGCCTCTAGCACAGTATAATTTCCGTATGGGAAGTGGAATTAGGAGGGAGGAATAATCACCTCTCTTCGTGGCTAGGACTGTAGAGACACCCCACTCTGCCACCAGTTGTTTCAGCTTGTGCTGCTTGGAAGCAGGCACGGAGAATCTGCTTTGGCTGGCAGGGATGGCTCGCTCTGAAAGCTGTCGGGCAGAGGCACGCTTGTCTTTCAAGCCTGAAGAAACAAAAAATAAATTTCCTTTTCTGATTTACAGTCCATTAAAGAAGTTTTCTGACTGTAAAGCTGCACAGAAAGACCTCGGTGGTTAGGTTGGTTCTTTTAGAAGCCCTGTGTTGTTCCAGCTCTCAGTGCTGTGCTAGACCTGCACGACTGATTTGCTTCCCATGTACATCACAACTGTTTGGATTCAGGAAGGTTTGTGGATGGCTCTAAAACCATCCCAATTAGAAACCCTTCAAAAACGTTGCTGAAATTTGACTCCAAGCATAAAATTCCCCTTAGACTTTGTCTCCACTTGTGATCTTTACCTCAAGTTCGTTGATTGCCAGATCAACCAGGGGTAATTAAAATATTTCCAAAGGCTGTTCTGGGCAACACTTTTTACCTTGCTGCAGGTGACAAATGTTTGTGGTTTGCCTGAGGCTGGCGTTCCCTCCTGCCTGAGCTGAGCATGCCAAACCCAGAGGAATGCCTGCTCCATCACCATCCTCCCTGCCTGGGTCAGGTGGCACAGGGACCCAGGGACTGCTGGCACGAGGGAGGAGTGTACAAGCACAGAGATCCAGCTCCTGGGTATGGAGAGACATAAAGAGGCACACAGGAGGAGAAGGGCTGTATGTTTTTTAAGGAAACCCTACGATTTCCCTGTTTTTGGAGGTACCTGAATGGCCCCAGCAGAGCCCACAGGTTGCAGAGCCATTTGCCCACAGCCCAGCAGTGTCAGTGCAGGTGAACTCCAGAAACAGAACCACAGAACCACCGAGGCTGGGAAAGACCTCTGTGATCACCAAGTCCAGTGCTCCACCCAGCACCACCACCACAGTCTCCACTAAACCATGTCCTCAAGTGCCACATGCACTTATTTTTTGAACACTTCCAGGGATGGTGGCTCCACTACTTTCCTGTTCCAATGCCTGGCCATCCTTTCTGTGGAGAAATTTTTCTTAATACCGGGTCTAAACCTCCCTTGGCACAATTTTCCCTTCAAGGACCTGGTTTGGTCCCATTTGGAGCTAGTTCACAGAATCATTGAGGTTGGAAAGCCTTCCAAGACAATCAAGTCCCGCTTATGACTGATCCCTACCTTGTCACCAGCCCAGAGCACTGAACCCCATGTCCAGGCATTCCTTGGACACCTCCAGGGATGGGGACCCTACCATCTCCCTGGTCAGCCCATTCCAATGTCTGAGCAATCTTTCCACGAAGAAATTCCTTCTGATGTCCAACCTGAAGCTCTCCTGGCACAGCCTGAGGCCTTTTCCTCTTGTCCTTAGTAGAAAAGGAGGAGGGTTCTCACCTTAACCACTATACTGAAGTTCTGGCAATGAGATAAACTTGGGGACATGGAGGGTGTCAGTTCCTGGCCATCCACTACCACTTCCACCCCATTTTGTAGCTGTGGGCAGACTAAAAAGGGCTCTGTGGGTTGTGAGTGCTGGAAATGCACAATCCCTGATAACAGAGCAGGTCCTGTCTCAAAAAACCATACTGGAGACCCTCACCCTGCTACAGCCCTGAGTCTAAAGAAAGGGCTCCATTCTCCACTTCATTTAACTACCACATAAAAATGGTGTTGGACAAATGTTAAAACAGCCAGCCAATTTGATTACACAAAAATTTTAGAGTCAGCAAATTATCTAGTGAAATGATGCATATAGAAATGTTAATTCAACAGCAACTGAAACCTTCCACATCCCTTAACATCTAAAGATGATAATTCTACACAAAGAAAAGAGAGGGCTGAGTGCCCTGTCCTTGCTGGAGAAATTAAGGGAATATTCTAGCTCTCACCTACACTGTACCCTATATGCAGTGATATAAATAACACGGGATGAGGGAAAGTTTAGAAGTGGGTTTGGGCTGGAAGCTCTGAAATTATATTATTTGCCATGGCTTTCCTGGGGGAAAGGCTCCTGTATCAGCCCATTCCCACCATGTGCCTCTCTGCAGAATCTTTCTGTATAAAAGTCTAATTTTCCTGTTCTATACAAAGCATAAAGGCACTTTACTGTGACACACACACACACACACTCCCATCCTCAGGAGTGAGGACCCTTTGTGCCCATTCCCAGGCATTTCTTTCCTCAGGATCCCTGCTAGGTCAGACCAGAAACACTGGAGAAGGAGAATGGAAGAGTTAAGCAACTTAACTCTCTGGCTCTTGGGCCGCAGAAGGGGAGGGAGCAGGGAGGCAAAGCATCTGGCTTCCCTGCTTCCCTAACAGCCTGGCGGGAAGGCTGCTGTCAATTCTGCCTTCTGCCTTGTTGGAAGAAAGTAGAAGTGACAAGAGGCCCTCCAGGCAGGCAGCCAGGAACCAGAAATTCAATTGTGCTACCTCCTGAAACTGGACCTTTTTTTGGAGACCCTTTCCCTGAAATTGTTTTGACTTTTAAAAAAAAGGACTGTCATCGCAGTTCAGGGCCAATTCATCACCCCTGGTCTCCTGGCTCCCATTGCCTCCATGCAAGCAGATTTGCACAAAAGGATTTTCCATTTTCTGGGCTGCTCTACAACCAGCCTCACCCACAATAAATACACAGACACATAAATATGCACACACACACACAAACACTGTTATTTATAGGTACAGGCTCTGCCACAGACAGACGCACGCCCGGGTGTTTTCCTTCACTGGGTAACACGAGGGCTGGAAGCACTATGGCAGCTGAATTTACTCCACACTCGCAGCTTAGGAAGCACAGTGTGGGCCATACGGTCTGTCCCAGGGGCTTAGACCAACTGGTTATTGGCTGGTGCTGTTGTTCCTCTAACAAGCCCTCGGATATATGGCAGGGGCTGCAGAGAAATGCAGCTGGAGGAGCCTCTCCCTGTCAGCAGCAATCTGTCACTGCGCCTTTGCACCGCCCCGTGCAGCACAAAAGCTGCACCACAGTGTCAGCACAAAGGTCAGGCTGCAGGTAGGCTGGGGGGGTTCTTCATTTCTGGGAACGTGCAGCCAGCTTGAGGCACCGTCTGGATGCTGCAGCAGGAATCTCAGCCTCACAGATGCCTGGCTATAATTTAAAACAGGCAGCATTTCCATTACAAACCCCATTTTTCCCTGTGGATTTATACCTCTGCTATTCAGCTCCACTTTGGGGTGGACCTTCTTCACATTTTTCCTGCACAACATTTAAATCCAGCTCAGCCTCTGTTGGTCGTGAGATGGAGAAGGAAATTACGTATGCACACAAACACTCATGAGCACACACAAAAAGCTTACACAAACGTATGCCTGCAGAGAGATCTGTCACAAAAAAACAGACCAGCCAATGCAAATAAGCTCGATTTTAAGAGTGAATTAATTTGACTTGATTATTCTAAATTATTAACAAGTTCCAGCAACCTTAGAATGCAATAACCACACTCGAGCTTTCATCTAGGTTAAATGGAAACAGATAACTTACACTGATAGAGATGATATCAGTATAAATCTGTGACAACAAAGTTGGAGGCACAAACCTGACCCACTCAGAGCCCCTCTCCTTGCAGCAGTGTGTTAACTCCTGGATGCTTCCCCTCCCCTGAAATGTTCCAGTGCAATGAATCATCCCTGACAGAGCCAGAACCCCCTTGTTTCCCTGGCTGCCAGGGGAAACCTGACCTGCACAACACTCCTGTCTGTTTATGACTTGCTCTGCCTTTAGAAACCCCATTTTGTTAGGTTTTTTAAAACTCTCTATCAATTCTACTTTGATGTAGTCCAATAAAGCACATTGACAGAGGCAATTTATGTTGGCTGGTGCCTCCAGTTCCAAGAAAGCCTTCCTGGCATACGAAGAGGGGTTAAGCACCTGGCAAGTACTATACAGGTTATGCAGTTATCCCAGATTGCCAGGTTCATTCAATGCAAACCCAGGCCTGAGATGAGGAACGACCTCCTGTTCCTCCCACTCCCAAGCAGAAATAGGTATGCTTCTCTCTAGGATCACTTCCTCACACCACATAGAAACATTAGGAAATGTGACAAGGATTTTCTCAGTCTTAAAAGGAAAAAGCTGAAAGTGGCCACTGGAAGGAGATGAGCATTTTCTCACTTCTGATGGCACAGAAACCAATCTTGGAGCACCAGAGTACCAGCAGGGCTCAAGCACCTGGAAACTGTAAGATGTTCCTATTCACATTTCTGCACAGGTGTGCAAATGCAAATTGTTCCAGTGCTACAAAGATCTTGATGAGGCAGTTGGGAATACCATGGATTTATCCTATCAGCTGGAGATGTTGCTGGTATCCACATGCTATGCTGTATTCCCTCTTCCTTTCCTGGTTTCACACCCAGACCTTGCTCCTGAGGCTGGGGAAGCACTGAGCAAGAGCATCACTCACGGAAGACATTTGTAGATGTTCAGGTGGCTCCTAAAAGCCACCTAACAGTGTCCTTGCCTCTTGCTAAGAGGGCAGAGGAGCAGAGCTGAGAGCTGCAGGGAGTGGAAAACTCAGCTCAATTTAGCCACAGGGCAGTTTAAAGTGCCTGTTGCATTTTTTATCTAAGTACAGCAAATCCCTCACTAAGCACCAGCTCGGTGGCCATAACTCCTGGAATGCTAAGTGGGGAGCAGGTACTGGACAGGCTGTGCAGCAGGCAGAGCAGGGAGCAGCTGGAGAGGGGCACTGTCCTTCCAGAGAGGCAATACCACCTGTCAGCAGCACCCGAGGCATCCAACCATGCTGGATTCTCATCCATCCAAAGCTTCCTGCAGTCATCAAGCAGGGATAGGGTTTCACTCCTCACAGTGGGAGCTCCAGGAAAGGGAAGTCTCTCTCCAGAGATGGAGATGGGTGGGGAACAGAGAGGCCGCAGTCGTGACACTGCAGCGATGGCCATTGGGGACCTCCTGTGCCAACGGGACACTTGGGTGCTGAAAATGCAGCTCAGCACTTACAAAAGGAAAAGAACGCAAAGAAAACATGGCCTTAAAACCCACCTGGACCTGTTGCCTCTGTGCCAGGCT